ATCAGCCAAAATACCCTGTAGGCAGACTCGTACAGATCAACAATGCAGGCTGAAAAAAGTAAAATTTAGTCAAAATAAGGAAGTCATAAAAGGACTAATATGCCAGTGTAGATTAGAGTTCATCTGCTCTTATTGCGGCTCACTCCCCTGGCCAATAGTTAGCTTATTTTAGCTGAATTCTACTTATAATGTTCTTGATATATCCCTTTAGGAAGGTCTGGTGGATGCTACAAAATAGGGTAGATAATTACCAGTGGGACTGATCCTGCCTGAAAGACCTCTCCAGTGAACTTTTACCACTCAACATGGGAGGTTTGGTCGGAATGAGGTTTCTGACGAGGACAATTTTATAAATGATAAGGTTTTGTCTGCCTGACGTCTGGGGGCTTCAGTAACGGGGCCGGGAAAGTTGGACAGCGGAGACAGACTTACAGTTACAGACTACAATGGGCTAATCTGTCAGTGAAAGTATCCCCACCTCACCGCTTATTACTGCCTCAAACAATGGGTCGGTAATTAACGAGCTATTCAACAAAGGGGAGGGGTTTATTCCCTTTGTTTTGAAAACTTAATTTTCGCATTCTGTAAGGTACCGAAAACAAAAGCAGTTGTCAGTATCTGACATGGGTAATTGTAGGATAGACAATAAATAAGTGCCGGTATACATTTGAAAACAATGGGAACACAGAGCCCTAATTTTCTGTCCTTCTATGATGAATATGCATTAGGCAACAGTCCATTGATAGAAATAGTTTATTCTGATGCTGGAAAAGTTTGAAACTGACTTCTTGCCATGTTCATTAAGGAGACCATGGTCGGCAACTGTGCAAGAATCGTGAGCATACTAGAACTGTCCAACTTTATATCAGATCCTTTCCATATGCCAGGCAGGACCTAAGAAAAAGAGTGGGAAAATGGTTTTACCACTGCAGGCAGTTCTATAGTCAGACAAGCATGACACACACACAGTCCTGCTCTGTAAAAATGGTTGAGTTTGCTCTCCAGTCTCCAAGTCCCAACCTGGGGTGAGAGAGGCACAGGGCCTGATGTCCCACACAGATAACTGCTGACTGTTCTGAGTGATACCATCTCCCCACGGACCCCACAGTCATGTCTTCCCACAGTAGTGTACAGGAATGCCCTGGTGAAATTAACATATCAAAGGGGAGTTCTGATAAATACTGCTTATTAGTGCTTAATCGGAGAAAAAAAGTGACTGAGACACAAAACTTTTTTAAGTTCTCGCAATAGGGAGTGACAGATATCTATAATCTTTATTGTTTATTGTTTGAAATTGTCGCAATAGAAATTAGTAAACATCTATTCATCTGATTTTTTCTATCTCATTAGGAGTGCAATGGCAACAATGCAATACACTGGCAGTACAGAGGAAATACATTGTATATATGTTACAATGATGTTAGCTATTGTACTCATTACATGGGAGACATTCAGTTTTAAGAGTCATATATAGTCTGTCAAACAGCAGGACAAATAAACAAAGGTGCACCCCAGGTCTTGGTGGATAAACAATTAGGAAATGTCACCGGCGCTGGCGTTAAATTCCACTAACTAGTGAGACTACAGAACGTGATAACTGCACAGGTTTTATCAGTTTTGATTGGCAGGTCTCCAGGATGTGATGCCCCTGATAACAGCTTTGTGACTGCAGCACACGTCAGTGGAATGCACAGGTGTGTGGAAGTTGCAGCACAGAGATGTCAGGCAACGAGCACTTCATGTTGTATTCAGTGTGTGTGTTAGGGATACGGAAGGACATGGATGCTAGCCTGGGTTCTATCCTCCGTAGTTTCCGCCAGCTCCCTAATGTCACTGGCTACCATGGTTGGAGCCGGAGGAGGATGGCACCCAGGCTACATGCATGCTTATCAACGGCACTAAACATGCATGTTTTCATCAAAGTTTACACTATGATTTGAATTCAATAAAATCAGGGCCACACTTGTACTTTAAAGAACAGAAGCTAATGGGTCACTACTCTTGCCAGTGGATACTGTCTTGCCCAGTAGGATCTGCTTGGAGTGGAAATATTAGTATGGCTGTTACCATATAAATGATTGAAGATGGTCTGTTCATGTCAGTTATCAAGGTGATCTTGCTGTTGTTTTGTCAACGAGTTCTCAGGTGCCAGTATATGACATATCTGTCAAGTTATCTATGTTAGACATCTATCACATATCATATCATCTGACAGGTAATAAATCATAGAGGAGTGATTTCAAATATGGAATGCTATTGGCTATTTAATCTGGAGAATGTTGTTTTCTTCTGGAGTGTGTTTTTTAAACGTTTTAAACTTAGGATGGGTATATACTGGGAGTAACGGCATTTGTTTTATACTAAATTTATAGTGAGGTTGTCGCTAAGTTTTTTATGAATGAAATTTTAAAGAAATCCCCAGTTGTCACAGTATGTAAATTGTTCGCAGTTTGTCAGATAATAAATAGAAATATCACAGGCAACTGATGGTACATTCTCTTAATGTTAAGGTTAAATGTGATTCATGCTTTTTAAATACATTTTTGTCCCTTTTTGAAGAAAAAAATGGAAGAAATTATAGAAGATCCTGTGGGACTATCCCATGAGTGCTGGTTACTGTACAGTGATCTGCTCCCTTTTGGAACTTGTTGCAACCCAAAAATCTTCCAAGAAAGTAAAAAAAAAGCAGAAAAAAGAGGCTGACAGCAAACCTCCGAGGAAACCACGGCAGATGCTCCCACAACTCAATAGATAAAGTATGGCAGAGAAAGGTGGCTAGTCTAGCATGTTACATCCATGGGTCACCACTGGGACTGTCCTGCTGGGATAAGTACAGGTTACTGCTGTTCTGTTGCCTCCCTTCGTCCCCCGGCTGGGCCCTGCACTTTCTACCCATTGTCATGTTAACCCTGGTCCTTTTCACGTGCCTCAATGCAACCGCTGAAGTCTTGGGGTTTCGGGCCGGGGCCCTTGTGTGAAACTTGCTGTGTGGACGGTCATGATGAGATCAGACCTGACAAGGGTGACCTTTCTGCATCCAAAAAACTACTCTCGGAGAAGGAACAGACTAGGTCTTCGTCTTCAACTGTTCTTGAACATCTACAAGCCTTCTTGTGTCGTATTTACTTAGCGTGCATTGTTCCCCATGCAATGTAGTCAATGGTAGTCAAATATTTGTTTAGGGAGGAAGGATCCCCAAGGTGCGGGGAGGCACTCTGCGTTGTCTCCGTGTGTTCTGCCCCATTCGCTGTCCGCTGCGTCTCGTGGTGCCATTAGCGCCTGCTGTATGGGGCAGCAGGTGACGACCAGGGCCTGAAACGGAAGAGTTTTGCTTGAGTAGGTCTGGTAACGTGCCGCTGAGTCGCTGTTGTTCAGCGGCTCCGCAGGGCAGCAGCAGAGGCCAGCAGTGGGCTCGTTGTCAAGGCAACCACCGCAGGAAACTCCATCCATTTCCTAGTAATGATGTTTTATTGAGACGGATAAAAAAAAGGCTGCAAACAACTTTTTCTTGTTAGATTCTAGAGGAATCGTTCATTTAAAACCACCATTTGTGATTACAGTTAACTGTAATGATTTCAACATTTCTCACTGACAAGTCATCCCTCATGCACTTGTTTTCCACCATCTTGTACAGAGTTCAGCTTTCCCTGCTTCATTGTCTTTTGTTGACAAAAGAGATTTTTGTGTTTGAAGAAGAAAGGAACAAACAAAGAAAAGTTGTACATGTGCCGTTTTGAAAGGCATTCTCATGATGATTCTGCACTTCTCATGGACTTGTAGAATGTCCATGTTCCCTAAGTAAGTAGGCTACACACACCTTGTGAGAAGGATGACAGGGGGAGGCTGGAGCTACAAGCTCTTGCCGAGTTAAATGGCGGTTTCATCTGGCTGGCCTGAAAAGGGTCGTGGCTTGGCAGGAGGAAAGTTTTGTCCTGGGGAATTACTTAATGATTGGCTTGGGCCTATAATTGTAGGGCTTGGGGATGTCACTCTGTGTGGTACAGGGACATCAAAGTCTGGACTGAAGGAATGAAAGATTTTCCTGGAGTGAAACAGCCATGCAAGGACATTTCTATGACCTTGTCTACTACCTGTTCTTTTTCTCTTTTCTCAGAGAAAAAACAAGACATGAGTTCTTCAAAGAGAGCTCCAAGACTTAAGTTACATTCTTAATCTTGCCAGGAACAATGTAAAAGTACAAAGCTGCAGCTGTAGTCTTAAGATTTTCAATATTTGCATTGTAGATAAAAGAAAATGCGGGTGCCATTTTATTCCATACATGATGCCAACCCCTGTGCCGTAGAGCGTATCCACTCAAGCTGGAAATTTGCTTTATTTCCTCCAGTGTCGTTTTTCACTGGGTTATTGTGGGGCTGTTGAAAAAGGAGATGTCGGAAAGATTTATCGTGCTGCTACAGATGTCACCAAGGGCACAGAACCCGGGGCTGCCATTGTGGCTCGTGGTATTTTGATTCAGTATTGTCAATCATTCTGCTTATTCTGCAAAACTTTCTCTTCTTCCTCCTACCAGCAAGTTATTGTTTTCCATACTTTTGCAGGGTTTTATGAAAAAGATGGCTGTGTGTATATAAAAGCGTTTCAGGTTACATTTGGTTGTTGTTCTAACATGTGGATATGAAAGCACAGCATAATTGATTATGCAAAGTACACAAACCATATCCAACAACATAAAACATAACAATACTGATCCACTCAAGGTCACCTGACACACAGACGAAACGGGAAACACATTTTCTTTGACACTGTCTACATATGTATTATATGAGCTAATTTGTAGCCTGGGTACCATCCGGATTTTCGCTACGCAACGCTCGAAAAATTTTTTCGAGCATTGCATAGCAAAAATCCGGATGGTACCCAGGCTACTAATTTGTGCTTAAGTCATTTTTTTGCGATTGTAGATGCTACCAGGATGATCTTTGAAAATACGAGGGAGGCTGGCAGGCACAATTTTTAGATGGATATCAAAATAAAACTGGCAGGGAGGAACAAATGACTACCTCCTGAAATTTTGAAAGGGTATAGCCCATGGAAAGATGATCTTTAACTTCCAGTGTTCTTTGTAAAAGAGCAAAGATAGAAATGAATGACGTACAGTATTGGCACCAAAAGTCCTAAACAGGATATGGCTAATCTACATCATAATCTGTCTTGTTTACTATCATGTATTGTTTTGATATCATGTTACAGGTTGCTGACATGTCAATACCTAACTACATTTTGTGTGCATTGCAGGGGAAACTTGAAGATGGTACCGAGTTCGACAGCAGCATTCCTCGAGGAGATCCGTTCGTCTTCACGCTGGGGTCAGGTCAGGTCATCAGGGGCTGGGACCGGGGGCTGCTAGGGTAAGTTTGTAAGGACACACAGCTGTAAGGACAATGTTGTAGCTTAGGCCACACCAATTTAATTTGTTGGTTCTCGGATTCGCCTCTTCATTTTTTTCTGATTTGCAAAAAAAAAAAAAATTCTGGTTCTGAATCATCTAAAAAATGCTCAATTTTGCTCCCAACAGTTGAGGAAAGTCCTTTTCTTCCTAGTTGTTACAGTTTTTCAATCTTTTAATGCAGTGGTTTGGTTAAAAGTTCAAAATTCATTGTTTAAATTTTATCCCAGCTTTTTGTGTTGACTTCATGGCTCCAATCGAAGCATTTGGGGCTATAATAGGATGCCTAGGCCTGTTTTTATTTTTTTTTTTTTTGCCCTGTCGCTTCATATTTTTTCTGAAAAAATCCGAGAACCAACAAATTAAATTCATGTGGCCTTAAGTGCACACATATATGTCAGATATGTTCCTAACTTCTTGCCTGTAGCTAGTGAGGTCCTGTTTTAGTAAGTAAATATACAGAATAAAACAAAAGAAGCAGGGTCACTGCTCACTTGATAAAAAAAGACATTTAAGTTACCTAAAGTTGTAACAGTTATTATTATTAAGTTACCTAATGTTGCTATTAGTACATACATATATGTATACCTGCATAACCATCCATTCTTTTATTTCATAGGATGTGTGAAGGAGAGAAAAGGAAGCTTGTCATTCCACCAGAACTTGGTAGGTGGTGCTTTTCAAATCCTTTCCTCGTCCCACCTCTCCTTTACTAGTACTAGTATATTATGGCAATATATATCCAGTAGATAACAATGATTGTTTTACTAGATGAACATTTCAGTTTATTTTCAAGCTGTTAATATGTTGATATATTGATGACAAATGATTGTGTGTCAACATGCCCTGCAACAGTCGTGAGTGACGTTTTGCGGAGTGTGGTATTGCCATGCCATCTAGCAGCATCTGCAGTAATTGCAGACACCAATTGTCAAGCCCAGATGAAGCCGACCCAATGTGAAAGCCTGCTTAAAAGGATCAGCACCTAGAAATATTTGCAGTTAGGATTTGTATATCTATGGGATGCCCTGTTGTCAATACTATTGTCTGTCATTTTCTACTAATAACCAAATGTATTTCAACTTTGTCTCATAATGAATTGTAAACAAATGTAATATATAAGCCAAAAATAATTATGGCACAAATCAAGAACTTTCTAAAAGAAATTTGTCTCAACATGCTCTTGCTTTAGACAACTTTTGACTCTGAAGGGTAGCCTTGTAGTAGGACATAATTCAGACTGACAGAAAGCGACTCTGACATATATACACTGACTTCCTGTATGTTTACGTATTCAATTCTCTTCCAGGTTATGGTGACCGAGGAGCTGGCAAAATGATTCCAGGTGACACAGTCATACCTTGTTAGGATATTGTAGCTTCACACATAATGAGCAGTCCTGCCTGGTGAAAGATTTATGTGACGATGATATACTGCTTGACTACACTATCTCAAGTACTTTCTGGTGTAATAGACTTTGTAGTCACAGCTATAGATTTAAAGTGCTGTTCAAGAGATTAGTGTTGCATGTTTTGTGGAGAATTGACATTGGTTGGAACATTACATCATCTTGTCTCTCCATTACATGTTTCTGGGAGAGTCCTTCTTCATCATTAAGATATACCCTATGGGATAACTTAGTGGAGGACATGGACAAATGTAAACTTCAGTCTGACAGTTGTTTTGCTTGTTACAGGTGGTGCTACGCTGATCTTCGAGGTGGAATTGATCAAGATTGACAGGAAGGACGAACTGTAGTGCCTCCTAGCAGTACTGGGATGAACTACAGGCATCTTTGGAATTGAGAACTATTGGGAAAATTGCACTGCTGTGATGGTCTCATTACTTTGCTGTTCCAAAAACAAAATTGCACTTCTTTTCCTGGTACAATGGAACAGCATCGTGATAAGACAATTGTAGTATGTACTTCTCTCACATTTAAGGATGATAATGTTGACAGGAATAGAGGGTAAACAACTGCCGTGGTGTAATCTATATTTCACTTTCCACTTAGTATGACTCTGCTTGTAAGTTTTAACGTAAAAACACTAAAGCTCGTAAAAACTGAAATAAGCTATGTGTATTAAGTGAGATTGTATCATAAAGGCAGTGGGAGTGTCATAATGCTACATAGCATATATGTGCAGATGGGTTTACTGACGTTACTGGTAATGCTGTGGCTATGTTCTTCACTGGCTAGTTGGACAGTTAGATTTAGGTGTAAAGCATGCAATTCTAGATTCTGTCGGCAGCTAGGAGCATGATTTAGTCAGCCTGATCAAAGGAGAGCCAGTTTGATTTACATGGAACAAGATGATGTGCAGCTGTTTATCCACTATTCTTGTTTTTTGTCAGTCATGAATAAACTATGGGAGGATTACAGACCTGAGAAATGTGTGGTTTATTGTGGTATGGTATCATATATGTTTAGGTACATTTTAGGTAGGCAGGGCAGCAGCTTTGTGGTGTTGAATGGACAAGTGGCTAAAGTCGAGCAGACACACGATTGACTGGTCACGGGTTTTCCTTGCTAGATGCTGTGTCCTTGGGAAAGGCACATGACTTTCCTTTAATTTTAATACTACACTCCAGTGGGTACCTTACTTTGCTTGTGGAGGTGAAAAGCAATGGAAGGAGAGGGATGAGCTCTACCTTCCAATACCATGCCCTAGACAATGGATCAACAACCTACAGCACCTGTGGCATGAAAAAGGCTATGACTCTGTACCTTATATGTTAGGTAGACAGGGCAGCAGCTTTACAGAGGCTCACTCAGAGAACTCTCACTCCTATCTCAGGCAAGAAGAGTTACTTGCTTGTAGAGTACGCATAGCATCACTCTCCAGAAAAAATGTTGCAGCGAAATTTATAACTGTTAATGGGGGGTTAACTTATTGCAATTTCCAATGTAAGAAATTGGACTACCAAACTTTTTTGACTGTACAACTCCAGTCCTTGAGCAGTGGGTCAAAGGTATCAAGTTTGTGGCAACCTCGACTTCTCCCAATACAGATGAACTTTTAGGATATTAGGAGTTATCTTATTCATTCATTCAATTCTGAACTGCTAAAGAAGACATTTGCTCACTCACACACTCACTCATTCTCTCATTCATCTGTTGATTCTTAATTGCATTATTCTACAAAATAAACTGTTGTCTTTTTTATCTCACTGGCATTTGTTTTGTCAATAGTTATTCCCGTACGAATAAAGAACTTATCAAAATCAATTGTCTTTATAGTTATACCTACGTATACCCAGCCTGTCAACTTCAGCTAAGTCTAACCGCGCCCCTTTCGGATCGCATCATAAGTGCAGCCGGTCGAATCTTGTGAGGACTCTGGGATACAAAATGGCGGCCCTCTGAAAATATTTCCGTGTCGGTAGAGAAAAACCGTTGCGGATTTCCCTCCCTTGTAGTGGGTGTACAGATTTAGTTCGACCGACTGTCAGTTACGGAGACAACACAGAAACACGTGGTAAGCTCCAGCTGTACTCAAGTACTGTACTTATTACGTATGCACAGTTTTTCTTCAGCCGACTACAGTGCCATGATGGTTTAGTTTCACATTTGTCTGCGCGGCAAATTTATGCCGCTTCTACCGTGCTTCTGGTTTCTGTACTTCGTGAATTTTTGTTTCAAAGGGCTAGAACAAGAGGCTGTATACATCGTAGCTGTCTTCAGTATTTACAAGGCAATGGACGTGTTTTTATCATAATTTATAAATTGGCGGGCAATCGCATGCAGCATAACCAAAATCACGATACAACGTCCATAGGCATCTTTCAGTCCTGGGTGATATTTTGGTCAGTTCATATTTCCAACTCGCACAGAAATTCTTGCTATTCTCATTCTGTCCAGATTGTTTAAAAAAAGGTTAAGTTTTCCATTGATAGAAATTTGGATCTTTGGTTAACATTTGAACATCAAGTTAATTAACCCTAAATATATTCAGTGATATTCCCAAAGACTCAGAATAAACCTAAACAAAAAAATCTTGTCTGTTTCTATTGAACTAGCACTGATCACCAATTAGACTGGTCCTGCTAATGTTGCCCACTTGTCTGGCTTCCAATACACATGTAAAGTTACCCGACACCTCTGGTGATAACCAATCAATGTTTGCTTTTGTTCCTATCTTGTATTGTTGCTACCCAATCTGCCTTGCATGTTGGAAGGAGTTTCAAAGAAGTTCCTTCACTGCTGTAGTAGCGTGTGAATAATAAGAGGAATCAGCAGTTTGAACATAGACTAACAATCAAGTACACAAATACGGAAGATTTGTGCAACAAAGTTTATTAGTACAAAAGTTATAGTGACGTTCATTTTAGTGACGCTGAAAAAGTCGAGTAATGGATGTTACTCGAAACTTCCAGTAATCTCCATAATTTATCCAGTAGTAGAGTTTGAATTATCTGTGAATACAAAGGTAGTGCTTTCTTATCTATTCAAGCAGTAATACTTATGACTGAAGTTATCATTACCTTTTCAGATACTGTAACCAGATTTTCACCTTCACTGTTTTTCTAGGAACCCAGGGTGTTCGTCATGATGCATTCTAAAATAGACTCAAACCACATCAAGGTCTTGGAAAAGAAACGCCCCAAGA